TATATATGAAAATTTGCCTGGAATAGTATGACAGATTGGTTTTCCTTCCTATTTGACTCCAAAATATAATTAAAACACAGTAGGCTTATTTACAGGAGATTTGGTGGTGTAATTCTTTGGTGGTTCAAAAGTGGTTTGGCAGAAGAAAGAAAATCAGTCTCCTCCTTTGCGATTTACAGCATCAGAAACCCATTGGAGGGTCAGGGATGACTCAGAACCAACTCATCAGCAGTGAGTTGAGGTGAGGTTTACTTGGTAGTGCTGTCAAAGCTAGAATTTCTCCAGGGAATGATGGAAGCTTCCCTTTTACTTTATTCTAAAGTTAGTTAGGATGGTACTTTGAAGTTGTTCCAAGTGGAGGTGAGAAGTTAAGACTCTTTATCCTTGTAAACACTAGCCATTAGATACAGAGATCCCAGAAGAATCCAAGACCACTGGTCACAGAGTGCTGCCCCTCAGCAGCACTCCCAGTAGGTGGGTGAATAGATCCAGGTCTGAAGGAGGACATCAGGGCATAACACAATATCCACCTCTTTAGTTGTTATGACTTTCATGGTTGAATTGGTGTTTTCTAAGGTTATCATCAGCTCCAGAAGTGGCTCCTGGGTGATGAGCAGGGTCTGGGATGATGGCTACCCATGGGACATGTTGGTGATCACTCGATTTGAAACCTTCCTCAAGAACAACTTACCGACAGCCATCTCTGACTGGTGGTACATGAAGAAGATGAATTCAAGATTTAAGCATGAGAACTATGGCTTGATGCCTTTAAATGGGTAAAGCAGAGTTCAACATTATATGCCTGTTAACTTTCATTTCTGTGTCAACAACTGAAAGAAAATCACAGGGCAAATAAAAACTAGTGGTGTAATCATAGAGGATGAAAGACTTAAAAAATAGGAGTGTTTTGCAATTGCACAATCCTCCTTACCAGACTTGCACAGCTGAGAAGTTATATAATACATGAGAAGTTAGATACAAAAGTAATCAAAACAAAAACAATTTCAGCACTTAATACATGTCAAAGGCTGTGATGGCACCTTTATATTTATTATTTAATCCTTCCAACAACTTTATTCTCCTTTTAGAGGTAAAAAATTTTGAGGTTCAGTGTAGTTAATTATTGCCAAAGCCTCACAGGTGAGAAGTAGGAACAAGATTAACAATGAACCTTCTTACACTAATGCCAAGGTCCCTCTCACTTAGCCACCATCCTCCACATCCTGTCATATAATTCCAAAGTTAAGCCAAAAGAAAGGACTTCTTCTACCCTACACTCTCAAGGTCCTCCTTCACACCACAGAGTGGAGCCCTCCCACCAATCTATGGCCACAAAGTTTGCATCTCTAGTCTCCTCTCCACTCTTTCCCACAGTGAGGTCCAAGCTAATTAGAGAATAAGAAATTACTTTGAATTGGAGTTTCAGAAAACAGCCCAAATTGTACTGTAGTTGGAGCAATGTGAATTTGTTAATGCACCAAGTATTTTTCAAGTATTTCTTGTATGTTGTTGTTGTTGTTTTTATGTGGCGTCAAGTCAGAATGTTATATGCCATCTCCAGCAGACTTTCAGAGGCAGTAATCACACGGGAGGAGATTTTCCCTGTTTACCAGGTCATATACTAAGCCTTGTGAATATAGCAGTACACAAAATGGGAAAAATTCCCAGACTTTATGGAGCTTATGCTCTGGAAATAGGAAAGACATTATAAATGGGGGACAGAAGATCATACAGATATTCTTGTGAGCTATGGATGAAAAGAAAAAACCAACAAAGGTAACGTGGAGTGTCTTCAGGACAATTTTATAGTCCCCAGATATCACTGAGGAGACAAAGTACTGCTAGAAAGGAGAAAATGAGCCAAGGAGTTATTGAAGAGTGCTCTAGACAGAGTAAACAGAGTAAAAGGATCTCTTGTCCTGGAATAAAGACGGGGTGGGTACAGTACTAGGAGATGAAGTCAAGGAGTTAAAGCAACCAGACAGTTTTTGGTTTTATAGGACACTATAAGAACTCTGAAGGCTGACATCTAAACAGAATAGTTGTTGTTGTCATTGTTGTTGTTGTTGTCAAGTCAGAACTTATTCATAGTTGACCCTCCAGTGGGTTTTCAGAAGCAGTTAATCATGTGGGAGGAAATTATTGATCTTTCTCCGTGGAGCATCTGGTGGATTTGAACTGTGTTTTTTCAGAATAGCAGCACAGCTTCTTACCACTACTCTAGGCCACCAGATTTCCCTAAGCAGAGATCCCTAATAAGATTTAAATTAACAATAAAAAAAAATAAAAATCACTCTGGCTGCTGTGTCATCATTCAATGTAGGAGGCTGAGATAATAAAGGAAGGAAAAAACTAGGAAAAACGCTATTGTCAAAACCCAGATAAGAGGTTCTGGTGGTCTGGACTAGGCTTTTTAGTGGGCAGTGTTCAGAAGCTATCAGTTTCTGGCTATTTATTTGAAGGTTTAATAAAAATTTATTTTCTGTTTAATTAGTAACCTATGAGAGTAACACAAGGGTCAAAGACATCTGCAAGATTTTTCATCTGAGCAAGCATGCCAGCACAGAGTTGACATTCCTGAGATGAGGAACAATGGAGGTTTATGGGGATGAACAAGAGTTTGGTTTGTAGACTTATAAAGCTGAGTTACTTAGTAGACACTCAGGAAGAGAAAGGAAAGATTGTAAGAAAGAGTGAAATGACCAGCAAAAGCCAACTTCTCCTGCCTCAAAACACATTCTGCTATAATTGTGTTCTTCATCATGTTGGTAACACTCCACAGTACAGAAAAGTCTTGGGTCGTTTTCTCCTTTCTTAATTTGTCTATGTATCTGTATAAGATAGGTATCTATATATCTATATCTAGACAGACAGATTTGTTGTTGTAGTAGTATAGATTAGATAGATGATAGATGATGATGATAGATAGAGAGAAAGGTAGGTTGATAGATATGCAAACATAGCTGACAATAAAACAAAAGAGAATGTTATACTTCTGGCTTTTTTCTCTTTTTTCTATACAGAATCCTGAGGAAAGAGCCTGTGTTTAATGATGAGCTCCCAGCTCGCATTCTGTGTGGCACTGTATCCATTAAACCTAATGTGAAGACTTTCAGAGAGACTTCTGTCATTTTTGAGGATGGATCTGTGTTTGAAGCCATTGACTATGTCATTTTTGCAACAGGGTATGGCTATGCCTACCCTTTCCTTGATGACTCCATCATTAAAAGCAGAGACAATGAAGTCACCTTGTTTAAAGGCATCTTCCCTCCTTTACTAGAGAAACCAACAATGGCGGTGATTGGCCTTGTCCAGTCCCTTGGGGCTACCATCCCTACAACTGACTTGCAGGCTCGCTGGGCAGCACAAGTAATAAGGGGTGAGTAGAAAATTAAGTTGACTCTGGTGCCCTAGTGGATAGAGAGTTACAGGGCCAATTCAAAGGCTAGCATTAAGCATTACAGCCTGAGAACCCTGATGGAGATTGTCATGAGTTGGAATCAACCTGATAGCAGTGGGCTGAGTTTTATGAAAATATTTTTTTTTAATTCAAAGAAAACAGCAAACTTGATTATGAATCAGAAAAGGCAGGCAAGCAGTAACTCCTAAGAATAGGTGGTGGTGGTGGTTGCTGTTATGTGTCACTGAGTCGCTTGCGACTTATAGTGACCTTACGTACAACAGCCCTAAACCCTGCTCTATCCTGTGCCAATCTCACTGTCTCTAACACAGCCACCCTGATTACCTCTGTCACTGAATCAATCCACCTCATAGAGGGTCCTCTTCCTGCACTGTCCCTCCACCCTCCCAAGCATGATGTCCCTCTCCAAGGACCGATCCCTCCTTACAACATGTCCAAAGTATGTCAGACAAAGCTTCAGTATTGAGATATAATTCACTCTAAGGTTAGAGTGTAGAAGTGGATAGATGTTAATCATAAAACCAAGCAGAGCCATGATTAGGAAACAAACGAGAACACCAAAATTTAGTATAAGCACAATTGAATCTACCATGTTTTATTTTGCATGTAACACAAATAATCAATGTACACATACATACAGTGCATATAGCACACAAAAGAAACTAATGAGTGAGGTTGGTGAATAGTATGTGGAGAGTTCTATAATGTGTGGTAATTGTATAAAAAATATGGTATATTTATAATGACTGGATGAAACAACTTTCTGGTTTTTCTTTGGCTTTCTGGGAAATTTAAAGGCCACTGTATATTTGGACCACCTGTTAACCACTAGTCTAATATCAACTTCATCATAGACCTGCACATTGGCGATCTCCTTTACCAGGCATGAATGTGTTTCCAATCTCAATCCCTCATGGATGTGCTTCAGGATGATGTTGCTCTAGGGAGATAAGAGCCAGGCAGGAGACAGCGTGAAATGCTTCTCAGAAGGAAGAGAGAGAATGCTGAAGGGTGGAATTCCATTTTCTGTGTGGTTATACATAATAATCTGGACTTTAAGAAAGATCACAAGGCAAAGATCCAGTTACTAGGGTATTGATACATATAATAAAGATGGGGCTTCATGGGAAAATGAGAGATTAGGGAAACAATTTCGTTTTGAGAAAACAGAGAGCCTGGTTATAAGCCAACCCATGGTGGTTCCTAGTGGATTAATGAGTCTAACTTCTTTTTTCTCTCTTCTCTCTTCTGTCTGTCTGTCTCTCTCTCTCTCTCTCTCTCTCTCTCTCTCTAACTCTCTTTACCTCCCAACCTGCCTCCTCCCATGTCTCCCTCTTCTGCCCACAGATTAGGCTGGTTACAAGGTTTAAAACATCACTAAACTAGGTTTGCTCAAGAGATTTGGCTAACAATTTTGAGAACAGGAAATACAGCCAATCATTTTGGGTTTTAGGAATTCAGAGCAGAGTTGACAGTTCTAGTTTTATTCCAGATGATTTCAAGTTTGTCCAAATAAAACAAAATAAACACCTGCATGTGAAGTATCTTTTGACCTTCAGATCGAGCTCAAAGATGTGCTTTGTTCATGACTCCAGAGAACTTGGCTAGAATGAGTCTGAAATCTTGGAGCAGTTCCAACATAGACCTACAGTCCTGTAATTCCCCTGTATCACTGGTGACTTGTGAGCAGTCCATGTCCTCAATCTTGCCTAGTAACTGTTAGATCCAGATAAAAACTTGGGCCCCCATGAATTCTTTATCAGAAAATCCCTTTTCTGGCAAAGCAAGATTATTTCCTATGAAGCTTATTTTCCCCTCCCAATCTATGGTATTTTAAATTGCTTTACTTGCATATGAAAGTTGGAAGATCAAAGAACTGCAGCCTTTTAATTGTGGTATTAGCAAAGAGCAATGAATATTGGATTCATAGATTGCTCAAAGAACAAAAAAATATATCTTGGAGGAAGTACAAACAGAGTGCTCCCTAAAGGCAAGGGTGGTGAAACTTTGTCTCACATACTTAGGGCATGTTGTCAGGAAGCACCAGTTTTTAGGAAAATGCATCATGCTGGGAAAAGGAGAGGGTCAGTGAAAGAAGACCCAAATTAATGAACTGACCCAGTGACTGTAACAATAGGCTTAACCATGATAGAGATTGTAAGGGTTGCAAAGTATAGTATATATTTCAATCTGTTGTTCATAGGGTTGCTATGAGTCATCGTTGACTTGATGGCAACAATATTTCCCTGTAATAAATATTTATTATATATAATCAGTACTCTTGGCACCAGTAGTCAGGAAATCAAAAGACTAATTGCATTGGGGAAGTCTGCTGTCAAGGACCTCTTAAAAGGGCTAAAGAGTAATGATGTCAGTCTAGGACCTACAGTATGCCTGATCCAGGCCATAGTCTTCACAGATATGTGCTATGCATCAGAAAGCTGAACAATGCCTAAAGATGACAGAAAAAGAATCAATGCCTTTAAGTTGTGGTACTGGAGAAGAGTATTGAACATACCATGGACTGCCAAAAGAACAAACAGATCTATCTTGGAAAGGGTAAAACCAAATCCTTGGAGCTAAGGATTCTGAAGCTCTATTTCATGTACTTTGGGCACAAGACCAGGAGGGACCAGTCCTTGGAGAGGGACATCATGCTTAGAAAGGTTGAGTAACAGTGTAGGAGTGGAAGACCCCCGTTGTGATGGTTTAACACAGCAAATGGGGTAAAGTGTGTAAGGGTGTCATATTAATGAGACTGGCTCAGGATAGGGCAGAGTGCAGAGCTTTTGTACACAGGATCACTATGAGTCACAGGTGACTCAATGACACATAACAGCAACATTTTTCTTAAAATGATGATAAATTATGATTCTGGGAACTTTAATAAACATCTAGTAAGTGGCTTAAAAGCAACAAAGCTATTAGGGAAATAGTTTTTAATTACTGTTGACAGTTCTGAGAAGACTAGCAATGAATCATATATTTGTCTCAAAGTGGTTATAATCTCATTTGTTTGACATTTTATTTTGATGAACAATGACAAAAAAATTGGAATTGCTAATGAAATTCATAACTGAACTAAAAGGATAAAAATATCCATAACCACTCATCCCACAGTAGCCCTATCACAGACTTAACTATAGTCTCTCTCTCTTTTTTTGTTTTTCAGGAACTTGCACTTTACCTTCTGCAGAAGACATGATGAATGATATTGATGAGAAAATGGGGAAAAAACTCAAATGGTAAGTGTACATTTTGCAAAGGAAGTCTGTGATTTCCATAGATAAGTCAGAGTTTATGAATGCTGGGAGTTAGTTTAATCTTAAATGGCTCTGAGTAAAGTCATTACAATTCTCAGATGGAAGCTAAATTCATTCCTCTAACAAATGGTCATTGCGAATCTGGTTTGCATATGACATTGCCTTAAATCATGTTATGTGTAAGATGAAATAAATGGCAGCACTAAAATCTATAGTCAATTCTCCATGACGCCCACCACAAAAAGGAAATGTGGATAGAATCAGAGCTGGAGCCTACATGGATGCAGGCTTCTATTCTACAGTCCTTAACTCCTTTATGATGTAGAAAGTATCTTCAGCAGGTGCCTCTAAGTCACTTGGTAAAATAGGAAGTTAGAAGATCTGAAATCTAGTCCATTGTTGTTGTGGGCCATTGATTTGGAACCCAAGCATAGCTGACTGTGCAATGGATTTTTAGAGGCATAATTGCACAGAAAGATATCCCTTCTCCTGTGGGGCAGCTAGTGGATTTGAACCACGTACCTCTGGAACTACAGCATAGCTTCTTACAACTAGACCACCAGAGGATTCTAATCTAGGACTCACTAATTAACTCAGTAATCATGAACTAGTAACTTCACTTAAGCAAGAAGCAATGGTGCCATCTCTTAATGAGAATAGCCAGACCTTCCTCGGCTGCTTTGCAGTACTGAAGAAAGGAACATCCAGATGAGATCCATATGAAATCTCTTTGAAAAAACTACAAAGTAGAATCTATAAAAGAAAAAGTCTGATTATCAACATAGGGCTTGCCATTGATGTCAGTTTATGCACTGATGAAAAGGTGTGAGACTTGGATATTCATTGTGATATTTCTTTTCCTTTCTCTAGGTTTGGCAAAAGTGAGACCATACAGACAGATTATATTACTTATATGGATGAAATTTCCTCCTTTATTGGGGTAAAGCCCAATATCCTATGGCTTTTTCTCACAGATCCTAAGTTGGCCTGGGAAGTGTTCTTTGGCCCATGCAGTCCATACCAGTTCAGGCTGGTGGGGCCAGGGAAGTGGCCAGGAGCCAGAAATGCCATCATGACCCAGTGGGACAGGGCACTAAAACCCATGACGACTCGAGCTGTTGGAAGTCCTCAGAAGCCTTCTTCATTTTTCCATTTTCTCAAGCTCCTTGCTATTCCTTTTGTGCTCATTGCTATTTTGTTGGTGTTGATTTAATCACCATTCTTTCTAGGTTACCTAAAGTTACTGACAATAGCTGGACAGATTTTGTTATTTAAATATTAGTAATTTCACACTTCCTACTTGCCTATCAAGCTTTCTTGAGGAGCACAATGTAGGCATTAGTCAGGGAAGCATTACTTTTCCTGGGCTTTTAGATAATTTTCTATAGAAATCATGCCATAATCTAAAGAAAGCCATTACTCATTTATTTCTAGATTCCACATAATTTTGTAATTAGAATTATGGCCCTATGCCAAATTTATTTAACTATTATCTAAAAATGTGTCTTACCCAAATCATCTTTTTCAAATATTTTGACAGGACTCCTTTAGACAATGTTTAAAATATGTACTTAACATCTGAGTGAAAGAAAATTAAGAACAGTAGTTAAAAATACCTGATACTCTTAAACTATCACTGCAAACTATTTCTAGGATCAAGGAGACAGTTTGACTATTATTTCTATGCTGTATTATGCCAGATCTTGCAGTATACCCTCTATTCCCTTATTCAGAAACAAAATACGAAAATTCATTCTGTAAAAAAGAACTCCAAAAAGCATAGATATTGACACTTGACAAGTAATACCTTCTGTTTGTATTTTCAATTATTTAAAAAAAACAACAACTTTACAACATGTTTGCACGAATAATGAGAACAAAAAGGAAAACTTCTATATTTTAACTGAGTAATAAGACTTATTTTTTTTAAAAAAAATCAAGTACTTAGTCAAAGCTACAGACAAAGTCTGAAATTTGGGTGGTTTGTTGTTTTTTTTTTTCACTTAAAAAATGAGCAAGGAAATAAATTGTAATTTTGATGTATAGATGTTTAAGGAATGACATTATTTAATCCAACCAAGCCCACTGCTATAGTCTCATAGTGACTCTAAAGGGTTTAGTAGAACTTTCCACAGAATTTACAAGGTTGTAAATCTTAAGAAACAAACGTACATTCTCCTGATAGTTGCTCATTTCCATTGCTATTGAGTCAGAACTGACTCCTAGTTGACTCTCCATTGGTGTTGCATGGCTATAAGTTGCAGTAAAAGAAATTGTTCACCTTTTCCCCACAGAGCCACTAGCGAATTTGAACCACCAGAGAGGCAAGGGTTAGCAGCACAACTCCCAATGGACTAAGCCACCAGAACTGCCTCTGCAAGCAGCTAGTGGATTTGAACTACCAACCTTCTGGTTAGCAGTCCAGTTTTTAATCAATACTGTTCGGGTTACAGTGCTGCTCTCCCTCCCTTTACCAGAATAAGTTCCAAAATGAACCACAGGAAGCAGCAGCTGAAATTCTGTCTCTGTTAGGACTGCAAAACCATTCTACCTCTGTTTTGCAGGAATAGCTATCTATGACCCCCCAGTCTGCTCCCTTATTTTGTAAAAAACAACTGTGAATATCCCCTTTCTCAATTTCCTTATAATATAAAAGCCCACTCTAAGTAGATGCTGGTCTCTAGAGTCAGCCCGCAGTAGTTTTTCCTCAATAAACTGTCTTTGTTGGCCTGAGCTGGGTTCTCTCCTTCCTCAGTGACCTTACATATCTGGTTCCAAAAATCCAGGATGGGTACCTGCCAGGAGACAACAAAACCCGATTCCCAAACTGTCTCTCTACCTTCTTGCAAACCTAAACTACTGAGAGCATGTAACTCCCCTGAGTTCACTAATAAGCCACTGAGTGGTCTGTTCCGCCCATTGTTTACGTGATCCAGTGCTGGAATCTGCCCGATTCCATATAGAGATTTTCTAGAAACTTCACAAATTTGGCTTCTATCTCTCCTCTATGTAACCTGTCCTCTCAGGACCTAAATGCAGCTGGGATATGCTGGATCACCCTAAATTTTTTACTCCTCCATGGGCTTGATCTGCCTCGTGACTGCCCCTCTATGAATTGACGAGAGAACGTCCTTGTCTGGGGCTTTCTGTCTCTTGTCATTGTTGACCTTCCAGACAACGTCAGACCAATTTGGGGTAAGTGGCAGACAGTTCTCCCTTCTCAGGTCTCCTGCTCTTGTTCTAGGTCACGTAGATGTCTCAGCCCAGGTGGCTAGTCTCTCCTGATGCTGGGGATGTCCACATTGTGAGCAGACCTTCTCGGGAGGACAAAGGGAAATAAGGGACACCTTTTTGCCTTAAGTATCTCTCTCTCCTGAAACACCTACTAGAATCTCCCTTTCCAGTTATGGAAGCCAGCCAATCCTGCCCTTCTCAATACACTGGAGTGTCTCCTCTACTCCTTTGATACTCTTTTATTGCAAGAACACAGCATACCCACAATATCAATTAACTAATAGGTCTCAGTAGTGATTTCAACACTCTCAGAGACTTTGACAATTTCTACCAACACAATGCAAATGGTCAGATATTCCCTACATTCAGGTCTTTGTTTTATGCTGTCTGTCTTTTCTGTCAAAATTGCCATAGTTGTCAAATTCTTTTAGCTCTTTCTATGCCCTCTCCCCTTCCTGATCAAAACTCCTTCACCTTTGATCCTGCTGATCTCTCAGCAACCCCTACCACTTCAACTCCTCCACCTCTGTCATATACAAATGTTGTCTCACAACAGGAGGTCCACTCCACATCCATCAGTCTACCTCATACTCAAAGCCCCCATCCTCTTTTCCCCTCCTCTAGGCCTCTCATACTCATTCAGGTCAACCCAAGCAACCCAGACCCAGCCAGGAAATACTGCCAAACTTTTACACTCTGCTTTTCTCTCTCACCTTCTCTACTCATCCTGCTCAGCCTTTCAGATCCTCATAATTAACCTCCAAGTTAAAAAGAAATCTTGAGAAAAAAAACCTTCTGCAACTAAAATATCATTCTCTTCCTTTCCCAACCCTGACCTGCAAATAAAAGAAACTCACTCTGTCAGTTAACTGAAAAACCCCTACAAGATGCTTTTTAAATATTATCTTTCAAGTTTTAAATCATACCAACCCAACCCTTACTAAAAACAGTTAATTCTGTCTCCCTCTACAACAGAGTAGTCATAGCTACCCCCATTCCACCTAATTAAACTTCAGAAAGATTACACTTTGAACCCTAACTAAATAACTCTCATAGGTCAACTAGCAAACAATATAATCCTTCTCCATATTTCAAATATTACCTGTCTACTTTCAGTAAAAAAGTACAAAAGCTGTAAACAATGTTTTCTCCTGTTATTGTAATCACATCCTTTCCTTGTCAAATAATGCCACTCAATGCTCTATCTCAGGAGTATTCTTTGTCTGTAGCAACTCAGTTTACAGCTGATTACAGACCAACTGAACTTAAGTCTGTGTGAGTGCCCTTTTAACCTCCAAAGTCTCTTACAGAAAACCAAATTCAAAATACTCTGCTTCCCCCTAATCCATCAAAAATGGGCCATCACTGGCCTAGTATTCTCAAAGCAAGACTGGCAACAGCCATAGAAAGCCAACAGAAATTGTTCTCTTTTAAAAGTTGGGTACCCTAACTTCTCCCCTTCTTCAGTCCTCTTATGGTAATTTTCTTAATGTTAATGTTTAGTTCTTGCCCCATGCAATTTCTCTCTAGTTTTCTAAAGGAGCAGATGAGAGCCTTTGCCAGCTACACAGTCCATGAACTCCTCGGTTTATCAGCTGGGTACCAACCATTACCCTCCATCACCACAAATGCAAACTCCACTGCCTAAAATCAACAGCCTTCCCCTGCTTTTGATTGTCACCCCCATCAAGCAGAAAAGTAGTTACAGAAGAGAACCTCAGCAGCCCCAATCACATAACTAAAGGCTGGAATGTTATGACTGCTGAACTGCTCTCCCTTCTTTAACCTGAATAGCCACTGAAATCAACTATAGGAAGCAGCAGTTGTAACTCTGTTTAGCTTTGTTAGGGCTGCAAAACTATTCTACCTCCGTTTCCCTGTAATAACTATCTACAACCCCCAGTCTGTTGTCTCATCTTGTAAAAATCAACTGTGAACATTCCTTCTCCCAATTTCCTTGTAAGGCAATAGAAAACTCCACTCTAACTTCAAGTAGCTGCTGGTCTCTAGAGTCAGCCCAGCGGTTTCTCCTCAATAAACTGTCTTTCTTAGCCTGAACTGGATTCTGTCCTTCCTTGACGACCTTACAACTACATTATTAGGGCTTGTAACATTATAGAGCAAATGAAACTTGCTACCATCGTTATTAGTTCTCTAAGAATTTTGCTACACATTTCTTACTGCAATTTCACTTTTTTTTTCATCCTGATGCAATGCATTTTTTTTTATTAATTCCAATAAACATTTACAGAGGTTTTGGATTTCCATTCATTCATTGTTGCACTTTTCTCCCCCACCCACCCCACCCCTACCCCCAGTTCGATCTTCATTGGTATACAATCCCCTGCATTCCCCACCCCTATCCCTACAATTTCACTTTTAACTGAAGTCAAGGAACAACAAAATATTTGGGAAAAGATAAACCACTCTTTTTCTAGTACTTCTCTGTTTTTTTGTTTGTTTTCTTTATACTTCTATTATTTAGGGTACTGAGATTGACGAGGTTGTACATGATTCTAAAACTTTTCCTAATAGTTTCAAGTAGTAAAACAACAGTCTACTTTTTGTATCAACTCACAGAATGCAAAATATGCTCAAATATAACTTTTTCTAAAAACTTTGTTGTCTACATGGAATCAAGTGGCCTCAAATTGTGTGCCTTTGGGATTGTAGCACAGCTTCTTGCCACTAGGCCACCAGAGTTTTCTAAACATTAAATATATTTCTTAAAATTTATTTTATGTTATAAATTACAGCACATACAAAGTTGAAGATTAAATCTGATATAGTCCAATTCCTGTTCACTCTTCTTTACATGATTATTTAAGTTTTGTGAACATCAATTGGTTCAACATAAAAGTTAAACTAACCTAATACTTTGACTACTTCTTAACATCAATCTGTTTCCATACTTATTGAGCAAATGCTAAGTTCTTAGTATTTCCTTTGAAGTAGAACATGAATTAATTATATTATCAT